CCCCGAGAGTCCCCCTGTGGCCTCAGAGACCAGGAGGGCCCCGAGAGCCCCCTGTGGCACAGCGTTCGTTAAAGGAGCGGACGAGGAAGTTTACTTCTGGAGACAGCCAGCGTTCAGCTGGACAGATGAGATTTAAAGACAACCATCAGTGTAGTTTAATAGGTCGGTGCACATTGAAAGTTGATCAGAAACATTCCGATTGTATGTCTGAAGAAAGTCACTATGTATTGTAGACATTGACGTCATCTGATGTAGAGCTATGCTGTAGCTCACAGGAATCTGTGTAAATGTACGCCCTCCCTCTGTCAGTGTTCAGTGTTTGTTCTCTAGTGTGTGTGTTGGGAATATGTCGTCACAGTCATGGCTGCAGGACAAGTTAACGTTAATATGTGTGATGTGCAGTGCTATGTGCTGCACATGACTCAGCTGCTGCCAGGGTGCATGCACAGTAAGGTACTGCACACGGCAGCATGGACTGAGCCGTGCTGTCCTCTGTTGTCTCTTCACCAGGAGTGAACCTCATCAACACTAACTGCTCAGCAGCTCACACCCGCCAGGCTCTGTGCTGCAAGATGTCAGTGGAGTACGATAAATTCATCGAGTCTCAGAAGAAGTGAGTGAAAAGTGATCTGAACTAACTAATGCATAGAATGACCGTTTGTATATCAGTTACTCGCCCTGTGTTACCTTGAATTCTGTTAGAAAACGTCTCATGCCCCCACGGTGAAGGAAAAATCCAGAAACGCAGAAACGTCTTGATGAATTGAAAACTATATCAAAACATCCTTTATCAAACTTTGAATTACCTCGTCTCATTGAAACACTTGTATGCTCACCACTTCACAAACTGGTGCAGCTTTCGCTGAAACTTCCTCTTTACTCATGCTAGCGCATGTGGCTGCTCGTCATGATAGGTCCGAAGTCAGAGGTTGCAATTAGATGTTTTGATAAAGTTTTGCTGTAGTTAAATGTGGCCTCCGTCCACTTCAGCTCATGAAGGCTTTCCTCTGTTTCCAGAGTCTTTGTTTACCGTTGAGGCATGAGAGAAAAACAAATGTTTTCTTCAGGAATTCATGGCAACACAGGGTGAGAGATGATATTCCTTTAAACAGCAGCAATGCAATAAACAGTGAACAGTTCATTCAACCAAATCGAACATGATATTTCTAGGAGTAGATTACAATCCACTAACACGTATTCGCTCAAAGTAAGGTACACTGCTGACTGTGTGTGTGTTGTAGGTGGTTCTGCCACGTGGATGATGATAACTACGTCATCCTGCCCAGCCTGCTGGGGCTGCTCTCCTCCTACCACCACAGCCAGGATGTCTACCTGGGCCGGCCCAGTCTGGATCATCCTATAGAGGCTGCAGAGAGGGTCAAGAGTGACGGATCGGTCAGTCTGCCTTATGAGGAGATTCTGGCTCCACTGACATACACGGCAGTGAGCGATGACTCCAAATCCAGGCTCCAAAATGTTCTTTCAGAAAACTATGTGATGCAAAAACCCTGCAAAAAAAGCCAGTTTCTTCAGACTATTCCACCCCTAACATCTGGCGGTCTCATTTCAGGTGTCTGTCAAGTTCTGGTTTGCCACAGGTGGAGCAGGTTTCTGTATCAGCAGAGGCCTGGCACTGAAAATGAGCCCATGGGCCAGGTAGGTCATGGACTCACCTGTTGTACCTTCTGAAGCCAGGGTACTCGCTCTGCTGGTGGTTAAACATTTGTATGGACAGCTAGAGCAACTCTGACTGTAAGCTGTCAACGTGTGTAAAAGACAAATGTCTTTAGATAACCCTCAGAGAATGTGCCTGGACATGTAGTCAGCTGCAGTATGTTTTAAGGTGTAGATGGACCAAGTGTTTCCAGATACAGAGGGTGCCATGTGGTTTAAAAGAATCACGTGTGAGCTATAGGGACAATGGGTTTCTCACATAGACTGTATGTAAGAAGTGGGCGTAGTCATCAGGACGTCACCCATTGGTTTGTGGACGTTATGAAGCCTCGAGTTCGCATTTCGTCGTCGCCATCTTGAAATACTTACCAGTGAACAGAAGTGACCATATTTGGAATGTGGAAGAGACGCAGAGACGCTATATACGTCTCTGGTAGTGGTAGCAATCGGTCAATCACAGTAAGCCCCGCCCTAAATCATCCCCTGCTTTATGGTCTGTTTGACTCTAAATTGACCATAATGTACTAAATGAACATCATGCTGTATTGAAGAAGACTTGAAACTAGAGATTGAGACCATAAACTCATGTTTACAATGTTTACTGAGGTAATAAATCAAGAGAGAAGTAGAGTCATTTTCTCATAGACTTCAATACAACCAGAGGAGTCGCCCCCTGGTGGTCAGGAGAGAGAATGCAGGTTTTAAGACACTTCTGCATCGGCTTCAGTCGGCATCTTACCACCTGGTTCCTCACCATCTATTCTTAAATGTTGACACACTGTAGATAGGCACGTAGTGCTTTAAAATAATAAGTAATTGTGATACTTTTACTCCGATACATTTCCCCTGAAACCTCTTACTTTGGTAGAAAGTGAGTTTAGAAAAGGCCGCTGTAAACCGCTGCAGGAAACAAACTTTGACGGACTTTGTCCTATGGTTTCAGTTTGGGTAATTTCATCAGCACAGCAGAGAAGATCCGACTACCAGACGACTGCACCATCGGATACATCATTGAAGCGCTGCTAGAGGTGACCCTAACGCACACACACCTCTTCCACTCACACCTGGAGAACCTTCAGAAGCTGCCCACTGACACTGTGCTGGAGCAGGTGAGTGTGTGTACAGTACGGCATAACATTTGACAAACCTTAACAAATTGGTGAAGTCGTGAAATCAGCATTTATAGAATGGTCAAGCTGCAGAGCTCCAGACTTCGGGCCCACGTCCTCCGTCGGACCTCTGGACGTGACGTCTGAACTTGTTTACGCCAGAGAGGATCCCCGGGTACGACAGTTGGGCTCATTTGTGTGAATAAGCTACATGACCTCACACCAAGGTAAACCATACAACCTGAGTATGTTGATGTACCTGTGACTTAAGTAAGGTCACATGACGTTAAGCAGCAAAGAACTTGTACTAACCTTATGAGTTTTCTAACGTTGCTATTGCATCGTGTAATGAGCAGTGGTGTAACGATCCGGGATCCGTACGGATCACATGGGTACTGCAGATTAACGTTAACCATCACTGTGTGAAATAAAGTTTTACTGACGATCGTTATCCGCCAATATTCAGTCAAATATGTGATCAGGACATCATTTATGCTTTTCTAGTCGCCGATATCTGATAATGTTACGTTATAAAAAGACGGTGGCAGGGATCTCTAAAGGTTATGTTTGCTCCTTTTTTTTCCTTTGTGCTGATCTGTGACCGCATAGGTTATCAATAGAAGACACCAGAGATATTACTGTTATCCATGAGACGCTCAGTTACAATATAGCTTCCCACCACCTGGTGGCGGTAATGCGTCAGTCAGTTGTTTAACAAGCTCCAATATGCAGAAGAAGACAGTCAGCTAGCCGCTAGCCCAGGGGTCGGCAACCTGCGGCTCCCTGAGTCTACATCAGGGGTCCCCAACTGGCGGACCGGATGCGGATCCAGGCCCTAAATCCGATTGATAATTCGGAATTATACATATTAGGCACTGAGTTTATACTTTAACCGGCGCCTCTTATTCAGCCGTTACGGCACTTGTTCGGCGGTGCAGGAAACGCACCGACCAATGCGTTGTAAATCACATCACGTGATGCAGCTCAGCCAATCAAACATGAGTATTCTGACAAGTTTCCTGACTCGAGCGAGGTTTACACACACGGGGGAGAGACGAGGAAATAGAAAGAAGAGCAGGGAAATTGCGCTGATCGAAGAAGTTATCTCGCATGACGTTCTCCAAAAAGAGAAACGTGCTCGGAGAGAATATAATTTATAAGCAAAAATGAACAGAACCGAATATGTTAATTATTCCCACAGGCAGTTAAATCCTCTACCAAGCGCTTTTCCCCCGCGAACGCGAACGGCTGATAGTGATTTTCAGACCCACGCCCTCTGTAAAGTATCAATGGATAAATCCAAAAAAAGAAAAGTCACGGAGGAAAATAGAGAGTTTAACTCTGCGTGGACGTCTTCATTTGCTTTCACTGCCAACGATGCTGGCTTACTGTACGCTTCCACAACAAGCACACAGCATGTGCTGAAAAGTGTCACGCTGGAGATGATTTCTCAGCTGCTGCAGCAAACTCTCTTCATAAGAGTTTGATATTGTTATAACAGGTAAAATTGCAATAAAATGTCAAGAATTGTCTTTATTCTTGTTCTATATTTACATAAATACAATAAACTATAGTTTTTGTATATATAATATAACACTTTATAAGCTGTGATATCAAATAGCTTTTGCGGCTCCAGACACGTTATTTACTTTTATTTGAAGCCTTCAAAAATAAAGCGACACCTAGCGACGAAACATCCAACGCTCGTGGGAAAGCCTGTTGGGCTTCTTGTTGTGTATGCAGGTTTACATACACATGATAAATAAATGTCTTTGTGATCGTCACATTGTATCATCTCATTTATTTGACAAGGGTTTTGCTTGTTAAACTGTAAGTGGATTTAATATAGTTATTGAATACAAATCAAACCAAGAGTGACATCAATTAGTTAGACTAATACAGTGTTAATATTTGAATGGGCCCCGGGACACTTTGTACTTGAAAAGTTGGGCCCCGAGGTCAAAAAGGTTAAGAACCCCTGATATAGAGGCATGTAACATTATTTATTGATGCGATGATTTTCCACCATCACACGTGATAAGACGTGAGACGTCCACCGTGAGTCCTGGTGATGGACCGGAAGAGGCCTGAGCTCTGCAGCGGGACACTTCTGAGCATTTTCACATGTGTCATGGATTTTTACAATGAAAGCAATTGTAAGGTTGATCTGTCATCCTTTCCATTCAAATATATAATGTTCATATGGAAAGTATCCTTTTGGCATCCTAGATGTTGTTATTGTTTGGTCCTTTGCTCTCTGAGCTGAAGCAGAACACTGTATGTTTTCTCTTGGTTTTGCAACAGGTGACTTTGAGCTTTGGAGGCTTTGAGAACAGAAGAAACGTGGTCAGCATTATTGGAGGCTTTTCATTGGCTGACGACCCCACCAGGTAATGAATGAATAACGAGCCCTGCTGTTCATAATGTGGCCCTTGTGCTCGTCGTCACACTGCACACTCCCATGGCTCTGCTCAACATGTATCATCATGTACTGTATCTGTGAGACTGCAAACAAGCAAGAGTTTTTAGAACATTATAGATGTAAATATGTTGAAGTAGAAATCCAAAATACAAGCATAAACCTGAAAACGAGCATATGTCTGATTTAAGACCAAACCAGCAATAAAAGACCAGAAGGCAGTCTGAGGGTTCACATACTGGCCACATGTTGTACTTGAAGTGTGCACTGTGGAGCAGTATCATTTAGGGAGATGTAAGTTTTAGGTCAGGACAAATCAGAATTGGTGACAAAAAACAGATTTGGGAGATACTTAAAACGGATGTTGCTGAATAAATCAATGCATCACGTTTTCTTTCACAGGAATCCGTTAACCCAAACTGATCTTAGGAAGGCTTGTATTCTGGGAAACACTACGTTTGCTCTTGTGAGAGAAGTTAATGTCCCTGATGCTCTTCCATTCCTGCAGGTTTAAGACGGTGCACTGCCTTCTCTATCCAGACACTAACTGGTGTCCAAAGCTGGAACACAGCCACATAAACTGAAAGCCACTGTGTTTCTAACCTGCAGCACGCACACAAACATCTATCCCACCGCCTCACTCTGCCACGTTTGGATCAAGCTACGTTTAGCTGGAAGGATGGCATGTCACACATGTGGTTTGGTGGCTATCTGTATCCAAAGCAGCTTCACCTCATGCTTTATGAATGCAATCTAAACAGCTGGAGCCAAAGAATGAATTAGTTTCTGGCGACTAGAGCATGGTGGTTGGTAAAGCCAGAGCCACACCCCCCACTGTAAATGAGCTATAAATGACCCTCAATGTTCCTCAACTGAGAAACACAGCAGTCTCTTAGATCATAATAAGTAACCAAACTATAAGTTCAGGTACATATGCTACAAATGTTTCAACTTAATTCATGACAAACTATTTTTTTCATGATTTTTCCCACGTTTGGTAAACTGTCAGCTCGGTCATCGCTTACGTGGTTCAGTCCGTACAGAAGGTGAGCACGTCAGCCTCCTGGTCATTTAATCTAGCTGGTGTTACTCCGAGGCACGCAAGTAGTTTATTAATTGGAGGTTTTCCCGTTTGTCTGCAGATTTTCTTTTTGTGTTAACGATTTAGCTGTGTTTACGTAGGATTAGCTTTCAGCCTGCTGCGTGTGTTTCACTTTCATCTTGTCCTACTTCCTGTCTTTGTCATTGGTTCGATGAAGGAAACGTTCTATGGCTCCATCCACTGGTTTAACCTGTAGAGGGGCACAATAGGCCGGGTTACAGTATGTGAAGGACCCTACATTCTTATTGCAGTGAGTTTCCTACTCTGTTTGTGAGGCATGGACGTTTGAGTGTTTAATGAAAAGCCCTCAAACCACTGACCCGTATTGTGTCATTTCAACACTTCAATCTTTTATTTTTGTTGACATGTCATCCCAAAGTCTATATAAAGTACAGTTTCTTTAGAATGGGAGGTTGTTGAGGTATTTTTCTGAAGTCTTGTGTATGGGGTTGGTTCTCTCACATTGACTGGACTGATGTTTGATGTGACGAAGGTTTGTATGCTGCGTGTGCACACATTTATTTCTGACTGTTGTAATTGCTCTGATGCCTTTGTGTTCTCAGCCAAATACCTTCTTGTGTTAGCCCATTCCTAACAGGCCCATCTTTATGGTTTTGCACTACTTTGATCTTGTCACTTCCTGTATGTTGCTGTAGTTACAATGTTGATGTAAATATGAGTGAACTGCATTATGTTTTGTGTCTTTGCATCGGTTGTAGTCTTAGCTCTGCATATGCTTCTTTAAGGTAGAGATTATTAGTTCTGTTGGAGTTATTGGAGCCAAAGATTCCTCAACCACATTGTCACGCATTTTGTGGACATTCATGGTCCTCAAGGAGAGATGCTAATAGTTTGAGTGACTTCTTACCTTTTTGTTTAAACTTCCTGTTGACCAGACAATGAATCTTCTATGTCTCTGGCAGCCAGTGTTAGCTGGCATAGCTAACTTTAGCAACATGGCTAACGTTAGCAGCCAGAAACGAGCATCACAAACAAATGTAGATGTTTGTTTCTGGACGCTCCTGGCTTCCATGTAGTTCCTGGTTAATTTTCTGGCTGTTAACATGAACTAGTGGTAGCTATAGCAGCCTGGCTGCTGTCCAAAGCAAGAAAGAGAGCGCCTGATGTCAGTGCTACCATAAAGGCAGAGTCAAACGCCTGTTTGTCCATTAAATCCATTTTGCAACGACAGCCTTCGAGCCCTCGTTGTTCCTGGAGATCGTACCTGGTGGCTGACATAATAGCGACAGATGGGCTTATGGTGAGCTAGAGGCTAAATACAAGATTCTCTCACCTTCTTAAAAAAATATTGTTTTGCAGTGCATGAATGTCCCGTGAAATTGGCTGTGGATATTCTAGTAGGATTTTTCTTTTTACTTTAAAAAGTGCCACCACTCAGTCTGGTGATCCTCTGACTTTTCATCTAGCGCCATCACGTTATATTACATGTAATAAAAACATGTAAATGTGTCCAATACTTTGGTTTACTAACTACTAAACTGAGTCTGTGCTAATTGGCAACTTTTAGCATGCTAACACTCTAAAGTTGTGTGCTGAATATGTGATCTGCATGTTAGGATTTAGCTCAAGCACCGTTGTGCTACAGCCTTGGAGAAGGTGCTTTATTTGTTCCTAGGTACAATGAAACCCAGTAAAAAAAAAAAAAAAAATCAAATAAAGTTAAAACAAGGGTTGGTACTCTTGATTAATCTGGAGTACACTAGATTGTTTCCCAAAGCACCATAAGAGGTGCTTGCTGTATGGAAGGTTGTGGGAAGGAAGAACTTAGGAGAAAGGAGAGCACTAAAACATGGCATATGGCTGAACACCATAGTCTAGTCATTGTACAAGGGAGCAATATGACTTGGAGTCAGCCTTTGGATGTTTCTCTATAGTTGGAAGTTTCCTTCTCCTCGTTTCATATTTGAACTTGCTTTAAAGCTAGGGTTGGTAATCTTGAGTAACTAGCGAGAGTTTGCTAGTTTAAATCCAGCCCAATAAAAGTAGCTCGCAGCACTAGCTCCAAAAGTTGCTAAATCTATCAAGAAAGTCTCCAAGTCATCAACACTAACAGCCCGTCCTTTTTTAGGCCTCCCGCCTAAGCCCCTCCCCCAGAATGATCATTATGAATAAGCAACAAACGGCTGTAGTTAGCTCTCACAGCTGTCAAGCTAGCAGCTTGTGGAAGATTGGTGATGAGCAGTGATTGCACAGGCAGCAGCTCGCTGAACAGCTGTGGCAGTCAGCTGACACAATAGAAAAGGAACTCCTTGTAGACGACATGTTCTTAAATAGGAACACCTCTGTTCCTTATTGGACTTCAGGTTTGCTCGTTGGCTGACTTGTTCTCCCATAAACTGGTTCTTTGGCTCCACCGACTCCGTTAACACTATCCAGAGACGGTATAGAGTGCTGCAGAGATCTTTACAGGTTTGGTTCCCTCAACAAATAGACAATGGAGATTTTCTTTTTTTTTTCCATTGGATTTTGGATTATTGCAGAAAATAAGGTCTGTCAAATGAACTTTTATGAAGCTTCCATGTTCAGCTCAAGATAATCTTCACAAATGACCACGTTTACGGTTGTCTCATTTAGACACAACCACCTTTTTTAAGTCACGTAAAAGCTTCTGGAATCATATGAGGGGTTTTTACTGACGTGTTCAATGTCCGACCAAAATGTTATTCAGGGCATCGAACCAGAAACCCATTCAAAGAACTCCTTGACTTCCAGACGAGGAAACCTGCAAAACGTTGTGACTCATTTGTGGGTTTTAGTCATTTCTGCCTGGAACAAAGTATTGGTGTGAAACACTTGTCTACCTGGAGCATGTGTTCCACTGCAGGTCAGTGGGTGAGAACTGATGAATTATTGTGTTTCAATAACAATAAAACCTTTCTGCATCGTCATGTGTTTGGTTGTTTTACTGTTGAATTGATATTTGCAGAGTTGTTGTGTCTGCTTTTGTTTGGGTCATTGAACAGAACACCATGTAACCAAAGCAAAGCCTCAGCAGTGTGTCGTTAATGACATCATTTACAACTGCATGATTTAAATGTTTCCCCATTTCCTCCTGGAAGTGTCTGTAGCTAATGGAAGTGGTCTGTTGGACGGGCAGATGAGCTCACTGAGCAAACACTGGATCTCATGTGATGTAATGCAACCATTTAGTGCTCCTAAATCACAAACGGTGGAGAAAGAAAAGGCTACGACTTTAGTGTGTGTGTGTGTGTGTGTGTGTGTGTGTGTGTGTGTGTGTGAGAGAGAGATTCAGTCATGATCACGTCTGCTCAATGCTACACGCTAACAGGGATAGCTGATCACACTGAGCTCAAAGCAGCTTAACAGGAAACCTCATATCAGGTTTATATACAGTATGTGGAATATTGGGAGTCAAAAGCAACATTTTCAGATCAATCATAAAGACGGAATTAAGTGAATTTATAATTGTTTTTTTAACCTGTAAACTACATTTAAAAAATCCCTTTTATTTCGAAGCATGCATTTCTGTCAGCAACAAGAATTTAGTTCTTACATTGTACACAAACAAAGTTTCTATTTGTAGCATTTCACCAGGAATATGAAAGAAGTGATGAATTAATAATGATGAAAAGCAATTGTATTTGTTCTAAATCAAAACTGAGATCTTATTTGGATTTATAAAGCTCAACACAAACCTTACTGTTAGGAATATTTAGTTTTTCTGCAAAACACCCTTTTTGTATTCAACCGAAGAATCTAACATTTAGCTGTTTAAGTAAAACCAGGAACAATCGGATGAATACATAAGAATACATAAGATATCTCGATCATTATTATGAAGACTGTTAAAGTGACGCGTGTGGATTATTGGATTGAAGGCAGAAATCTCAGTCACATCTGTGAAAACCTGGACAAATAAACCGAAATGTGAGAGAGAAACACTCTTGTTATTTGGGTGAACTGACCTTTAAACAAATGCAGTGTTGGAAAAAGCACTTCAGAGAAAGTATTACCACAGAGTAAAAATACTCCGTTACAAGTAGAAGTCCTGCATTTACAAAACTAACTGGAGTAAAAGCGTTTTAGCATCAAAACATACTTAAATCATCAAAAGTACAAGTACTCATTATGCAGAATAATACTTAATATATTACTGGATTATAGTTATTATTGTGTTCATCACGGCTGGTGAAGGTGGAGCTCATTTTAATGACTATATATACAGCTGTGTAGTTTCACCTGTCATCATTTATTAGTTGATTATATTTTGTATTCACAATCTCAATCCAAAATAGATGTAGTGCGTTAGAAGTACAGAATACAGTTGCAGTAAATGGAAAAGTAAAGTACCCGGTGATTGTACTTCTAAGTAGTACAGAACTTTAGTAAATGTAGCCTGCTTTGATTTGACCACAGCTGCAGCTGTCCGTGGTGGTGGAGTGTGCGCGTGCGTGACCTGTGTGCGACGTGCAGGACTGAGTTGAATACAGTTGTACCTTCAGTGTTAATCTTTGAGCCCCGCGGAGGAGCACAGAGACAGACACGCCGCTTCCTGCACCGCGGACCTCAGCTGGTAAACCGATCCACGCTGTTTTTACACCCGTAACACCACGTGTGATTGTCGGGTTTAGGAGAAAGATCAGGAAGTTGCAGCGTAGTTTAGCTCGACTGTGTATAAGAAGTCCCCTGTCTTGTCACGTGACTGATCGCTTCTCTGCGGTCTGGTTTTAATTGTCTGTCTTGTTGCACATTAATCTGTTGCACATCAATCTGTTGCACATTAATCTGTTGCACATCAATCTGCAGCTCATCTCAGCGGACTTCACTGATCATGGACATTTCTTTTGCGGGAAAACGAGCTCTGGTCACCGGAGCAGGAAAAGGTAAAGGCCACACTTCAACAGAAATACTGCAGCGACCCCAGCCGGCTGTTCTAGAGAAACACCTCCTCTTCAGTCCTGCAGTATGCACGCACGCGCGCGTGAGTCGTGTTGCAACACGACATACTGGTTTGTCGT